TCTCCCGGCAGGCGGGGCGGGGGGGGGCAATATTTTTTGCTGTTTAGCCACTTCAGAAATTTTTGAAGTGGCCACGGGCCGCCATGGAAGCGACAGGGCCTCAGGTGGAAGAGGTGGGGCCAGGACACTTCCATGCTTCTTTGCCCACAGACCCTGACTGATCTGGGGGCTCTGAAACAAAACTGTCTCTTTTTGCAAATCAGCTACCTGAGAAAGACTTAACTCGTTTTCCCATCCTCAACTCACAAAGCTGTACGAGACTGATTGGCCTGGGAGTGGGGGAGCGGTAGAGTGAACCCCCAGCTGAATAGTTGGCAGTTTACTCTAAGTACCACGCTCCCCTGGCAGGGGAGGAGACTTTGCGTGCTGTACGAGACTGATTGGCCTGGGAGTGGGGGAGCGGCTGGGCATCCGTGAGATGGATCATCCCACGTGGTGGCCCGGATCTGGCCCACGGAGGCTCTCTTGCCTTCGCCTGCTCTAGGAACTGCTTGCTTCTTTGTGCCTTTTATCACAAGGATGGTGATGGCCTTGCTGCCATGCCCTGCATTTAATATACCCAAACAACCTTAACGTTGCCCCCAGAGGCCCCAGCCTTCTGATTAGGGACGTAAAAGTTTAACCAGCGGGGGCTGGAGCAGCTCCCTGCCTGCTGTGGAGCAGCCTCTGTCTATGGCAGGTCTGGGCACCCTGTGGGGGGGCCTCTTGAATAAATGGGCCACTCCAGGCCAGTGGAGGGTGGGACCGACCCCCTTTAATTGGTTAGTCAACAGGATTTTACATCCCTACTTCCCATACTCAGTGGCAGTGGCTCTGGGGATTTGATTCCCTGGGCTGGTTTGTTCCTGTGAAAAGCAGCCTTGAATCAATCAAAGCCACTGACTCACCGTCCCAGTGCAGGAGCCACGACTGTGCTGCGCTAGCTTTTTGGGGGCCCGTACGAAGGCAGGAGCATGGCTTCTGTCTCACTGCTCATCGAGGGCACATCCTCCTAGCAGAGGCTCTGTGGCGAATGGGGGCACCTCCCAGGGCTCCCCATGTTCCCACGGCTAAAGTCCCCTCCACTGGCCTTAGAGATCAGGTGACTGGAATCAGGATTTATCTCAAGCAGTGTGGGGGGGGGGGAGGAGGAGACAACAACTCTTGTTTGCATCACCAGGTGTTGGCAAATTTTATTAATGTTTGAGTCTGTATGTGTGTGTTCCTCCTCTCTATATGTTTTTAGCTGGTTATGTCCCTCTGGGGTCTCATATTTTTAATTCTCATATTTTAATTTGTATATATATTTGTATGTTTTTGTTTGTTTTTGTAAGCCGCCTTGAATATTTTAAATAGAAAGGCGAGGTAAAAATATTTAAATAAATAAATTCAAAGTTGAGAGGCAGTAAAGAAAAGGCGGAGACTGAAGCAGTTTAACTGCCTGGCTGCTGCCTCTGGAGGAGGGAGAGGGCAGCACAACCCACGTACCCACCTCCAGCTCTGCAGTGAGACTGCAGCTCTGAAGAAAACGGAGTTGTAATTACAGGCCGGGGCCAGGATCGTCCCCAAACAGGCTCCCTACTCCCTAGTTTAGCACCTGAGCGAGGGAAGTGGAAGAGAACCGCTGGGCACTCAGCACCTTGGAAATCAGGCCCTTCATAGCAAAGGCGACATGTGGGGGGGACAGAGTGTCGTGTGTGTGCCCCCTGCCATGGGGGGCCAAGGGGTGAGCAGCCAGAGACCAGGCTGACTAGTTGCTGCACTATCTCAGGCACCTTCTGCTCACGCTGCCTGGGAGATGCTGTCTGAGACAGTCCCCCCCAATTGCTGCCAGGTGATTGGGAGGGGAGGGAAGAGCTGGCCCTATGGGGGGCGAAGGGGGAGGGAGAAAGAGGGACAACTGCTGGGAGGAAAAGGGGGGCAACTGCTTGGGGGAAGAAAGTAGGTGGCCTCTAGGGGGCAAGGGACGGGGGACAGAAAAGGGGCGGCTACTGGAGAGCAGGGTAGGGCTGTAATAGTGTAGTCAATTAATCGATAAGCAAAAGCTTATAGGTTAATGATGCAGACTACACACATTCCCCCTCCCCCTACCCTTGTCAGTACATTTTTTAGCGGGCTGGCCAGCAGCTCATCTCAGTCCTGGGTTGCGCCGGGTCTGGGACCTACCCCTGCTGCGGCTCTGCATTTAAAGTGTATTAGGAGCTGGGAGGGCAGGCAGCCCGGCTCAGTTCCAGCTTGTGCCGGGTTCCATGAGGGGACTTGGTTTTTAAACTGGCTCCCCTTGCAGACCAGCTCCTGCCTGGCACCCCACGCTGCTGCCTCTGATACAGACGCAGCACTGCGGAGTGGCAGGGGGCTCCTCCAGAGTGGGGCAGGAGCGTACTAGCTGCCAGACCCACCCCCAGGGACTATAGAATAGTCGACTAGCCGATAAGAATTCATGAGGTTACTCGACTATTCCATTAACCGATATTTAACATCCCTTGAGCAGGGGGGCGGGGGGCTGCTTGGAGTGGGTTGTATATAGCATGGTAGCCCAGGGGTAAGATGGGAGGTCAGGTCACTGTTTGGAGGAACTGGGAGATTTCAGTGGGACACTGAAGGAGGCAGCATCAGGGAAACAGGTGAGGATTTCCAAGCCTTCCTGTGCTGTTCTTCTCATACAGGCTTATAAATTACAAGAGGGGATATTAGCATGTAGGTATGTTGTACAGAGCGGCGATGGGCTGGAGGGTTCGGCAATGGCACAGGGTGTCCACTTAGAAGGTATTTAAAATGTATTGAATACAGTGAGGTATTGAAAGGTGTCAGTTATGGAATAATACGTTGTTGCCCATTGAAAGCTCAGGGTATAATACTTTATCTGTTGTAAATCCACTGACTCCAGTGAAATTATATCAGGGGGTAAAACTGGCCTAGCAGACGTCATCCTTCTTCTATACTGCTGCAAAAATATCTAATGGCTGACACTGCTCCAGAAATCCTCAGAACTGTACAATTAGGGTACGTCTACACTGCATCCCTAGTTCGGACTAGGGATGCAAATGGAGACAATCGAAGTAGTTAATGAAGCGGGGATTTAAATATCCCGCGCTCCATTAACATGATCTCGCCGGCGCGCTAGTTCGAATCACAGCTCCTCAAAAAATGAGGAGTAACATTAGTTCGGACTAAGGGCTTTAGTCCGAACTAACACGTCCCGGCGCGCACTTCCTGGTTCGAATCAGCTGTGATTCGAACTAGCGCGCCGGCGAGATCATGTTAATGGAGCGCGGGATATTTAAATCCCCGCTTCATTAACTACTTCGATCCCCACTTCATTAACTACTTCGATTGTCTCCATTTGCATCCCTAGTTCGAACTAGGGATGCAGTGTAGACGTACCCTTAGTTATTGTTTGTCCCTGCAGGCTAGTGTAACAAAAACAAAAATGAAAACACAAATTGAAGGTTAAGCCAGAAAGCATGAAATGGAAAGTCATTTACAGCTCTCTCGCCCCACCAGTTTGCTAGTACATCTGATTCCTGTCCGGCCACATTCCTTGCTGTTCCAGTTGGGAGCCCCTGGGCAGCTTTTGCCAGCCTGACTGCATACCTCTGAGAAACTGTCAACTCCTTTAACTTTTGCCCAAGCCATTGAGCCAGTGTGTTCTCATCAGAATTCCTCATCCCCTGACAGGCAGGATTAAAATCTGTTGAGCTCCTGGGAGTCTGGTGGGTCCAGGAGTCATGTGGCTGTGGGTGGACATCTAGGGGAACAGCAGGGCCAGGGGCTAGTGATAGGGGTTATTTGGGGGAGGTGAGGCAATGAGGCTGCGTTGATGGTGCCCAAGCCATTGAGCCAGTGTGTTCTCATCAGAATTCCTCATCCCCTGACAGGCAGGATTAAAATCTGTTGAGCTCCTGGGAGTCTGGTGGGTCCAGGAGTCATGTGGCTGTGGGTGGACATCTAGGGGAACAGCAGGGCCAGGGGCTAGTGATAGGGGTTATTTGGGGGAGGTGAGGCAATGAGGCTGCGTTGATGGTGTGTATGCAGTGAGCACCTGAGGGAGGCTGTCAGGGCCAGGGCATCATTTTCTCTAAGGCCAGCTTTGAGTGGGAGCAAGACGGTGCCAGCTTGGTGGGAGGCGGGGGGAAGGAGGTGGAATTACTTCTAAACTTTCAAACCTTAAAAACAGACCCAACTGGTGTCTGATTAAACATCGTTCTCACATAAGCTTTCTCAGGCAGTGCGTGTGAGGGGCATTTGTCAATGTATTCAGTAGGCTTTGGAATTGTATTATGCCTTTTACTAGTTTTCCTGAAAAGTTGGTTCAAGGACAATCTGTGTTAAAAATGATTTGATTTAATCATGTTCTCATTATGAGCTTTGCACAATGGCAAAAAAGCCCAAAACCTACATCTGGAAGTTTTCTATGCAAAGTCAGGTAAATCGCCAATGCTAAGTACATCAGTAACTGCACCTGACTCTTCTGGAGTTCACAATTCTGTGTACAGCAGTAATGGGGTTTACAATGATACTGCAGAGGGTTAGGGTTGTGTTGGGGTTATATTTATTCACAAAACTGATTCTGGCATTGAGGTAGTAGTGAGCACACAGCAAGGAAGCAAATGACAGAATGCACAAGAATTTCTGCAAGCACTTTTTAAAATTTTCTTGTGTAAGAGCCCGCAATGTACAAGTTGGCCTTAATGCCAGCCACATTATTTGGGCAACTTTCTTAAGATTTGTAATGTATGTACAAAGCATGCAATCATGCGTAGCTCTCTTTTAAAACAGTCTCCATCTGCTATTACATAGTATCGTAAAACTTGACATCAAAATTAGCACTAGAAACCAAAACTCCTTTGTCTCATGAATACCTTCCTGGAATCCTTTTAATGGTCACCCCAGCAGCAGTTACCAGTCACCAGTCACCACTGATTTACATCAACTGTTGGAAATCTTGGCCTAAAGCTATTTTCCCTAGCACTGTGCCCACACGGTGGCACTCTAAGTCTACTGATTAAGACCGGTTCGCTGGAATGGCAGGAAGATGAGAACGGCTTCTGTTTTGAACTACAATTCTCATTTGGGGAAGTTAATCCAAACCCAGGCCACGAGGCTGCTCCAGCAGGGCTTTCAGTCATACCCAGTGGGTGGGAGGGGAAGTACTGCCAATGGCCAAAAATCATTAGACCCTAACAGGAGAATCTTAATATTGTATTAAAGTGGGGGACTGCTATTGTCCTGAGGCCTGATTTCTAACCAGAGCCAAGTGACTTGAGTCCACACTACCAAGTTCTGTCAACAAAAATTACGTTGACACTCACAAGTCGACAAAGGAAAACTCGCCAGAGGGTGTTCACACTGGCTCCCTGTGGCTATATCATGGCCACTCTGGGGCACCATCATGGAGAGCGTGTGCAATGCTCCGTGGGTCTGTATCCCAAAGTGCAGTGTTGTGGGAAAACAGAGCTGATGGCATCTTGGGATTCCCTCCATTCTCCCACAGCCTCCCAGCTACTGGGAGCTGCACCCGCATGCTGAGGAATGTCAAAGCAGCACAGCAGCCTGTCCACCCCCACCCCCGCCTGCGCCAGGGCAGAACAGGCGCATTCCAATGCATAGCTGTTAGTTCCCTCTCCCAGCTGTCAGATACTTCCCAGAGCTCCGAAAGGGGAGGGGCACATGCCTGCAGGGCAGCAGAGATCAAAACCCTGAGCAGAGCCATTAGAGCAGGCACTGTGGGACATAGGCAACATAAAGGGAAGGGAGAAGAAAAAAGTCTCTCCTAGGGCTGGAAGTTTTTTGGGGCCCAGAACTAGTCTTTTTTACCCCAAAAGTTGCACAGCAGTGTGTACGCTCCGACTGTTTTGCCGCCAAAAGGCAGCTTTTGGCCACTACATCTTATGGTGCAGACAAAGCCCAGGTCACCTACAGCTTTGGGCTGATCCAAAGAAAGGCTGCAGCAAGAAGGGGAGCATTCAATAGGGATTGTTCTTGTTTTGCTGGGACTAGGAGCAAGCCTCATTGCTCGGATCCCCCCCAAGGGCGGCAGTGGAAGTGGCGGTTCTTTTTTTGTGGCCGCTCCGTGTAACAGACACGAGGGACCAGTCTCTCGAGACGGGGGCGGGGGCATGGAGGGAGACAGCAAATCGCATTCACACGGACGCGGAGGATTCCGCTCTCGACTCTCGCAACAATGCGGCTTCAGTTCGTCCTGCTCCTTTGTGAAAGAAGGGGGCAGCAGCGAAGCGCGCATGGCCACAGTCCAAGCAACCTCCCCACCCCGAGCCCGGCACCTCTGCCCTGTCCTCTCCTCCCCCTTACCATAGGCAGCACGAAGCCCTGGTTGTAGTCCGTGTGCTCTCCGATCAGGTTCACCCGGCCAGGGGCGGACACCGCGATCTCAGGATCCGCCCCTGCAAAGGCCCCTCGAAATGCCTCCCGGGCCTGCGCCAGCAGCGAGCCGAAATCGGCTTCCCTGCGCCCGGCCATGCTCAGCTGGGAGCCGGAGTAGGAGCGCGGTGTAGCAACGTAGCACTACGGAACGCCCGGTTGCAATAGCCCCTATGAACCGCGCCGTGTGAACCTCCCCCCGCCTCGCGCTCCCTTCCTGTCCCGCCCCTGGCCTGGAGCTGGTGAATTTCCTTAGCTTGGCTCGCTCGGTCATTTCTCCTCCCTGTGTTTGGCTCCCGCATCAGGCGGGGCAAATAGTAACCCTGTTGAATTATTAAATCTTTCCACCCGATTATCTCAAAGCGCCGCACAAGGGCACGTCCAAAAAGCAGAAAGGATCTCACAGCCTCTCAGTGGGGGACACCTGTATGCTTCAGTCGCTGTAGAAACCCCCCTCTGCTTTGGGATTCTCTGGCTCTAAAGGAGGGGCTGCAGGGGTGGAGAACCGGAGAGCATTTGCTGGATGAAGTAGACTCAGTGGCTACCACTAGACTGGCATGATTTTCCGCAAATGCTTTTAACGGAAAAGTTTTCCATTAAAAGCATTTTTGGAAAAGAGCGTCTGGATTGGCACGGACACTTTTGCGGAAAAGCGTCCGTGGCTAATCTAGATGCGCTTTTGCGCAAAAAAGCCCCGATCGCCATTTTCTTGATCGGGGCGTTTTTGCGCAAAACAAAACTGAGCTGTCTACACTGGCTCGTTTGCGCAAAAGCTTTTGCGCAAAAGGACTTTTGCCCGAATGGGAGCAGCATAGTATTTCCGCAAGAAGCACTGATTTCTTACATGAGATCGTCAGTGTTCTTGCGGAAATTCAAGCGACCAGTGTAGACAGCTGGCAAGTTTTTCCGCAAAAGCAGCTGCTAGTCATTTGCAATTGCGGTATGCCTACATTACCCCGCTAGTTCGAACTAGCGGGGTAGTGTAGACATACCCATAGAGTCTCATAGACTTTAAAGGTCAGAAGGGACCATTATGATCATCTAGTCTGACCCCCTGCACAATGCAGGTCACAGAATCTCACCCACCCCCTCCTAGAATAATCCTCTCACCTATATCTCAGCTATTGAAGCCTTCAAATAGTTTGAAGACCCCAAGATGCAGAGAATCCTCCAGCTGTGATCTGTACCCCATGCTACAGAGGAAGGCGAAAAACCTCTAGGGCCTCTGCCAATCTACCCTGGAGGAAAATTCCTTCCTGACCCCAAATATGGCGAGCAGCTAAACCCTGAGCGAGCATGTGGGCAAGACTCACCAGCCAGACACCCAGAAAGTTTTCTATAGTAACTCCTATCATCATCACCTCCATTGACCTATTTACCACTCATATTAGGTAACAAATGTAGCCTGCTGACCGCCATGGTGTCCATGTCCTAATTCAGAGAGTTCTGGCTATGAGAAAGATGTAATTCTATGAGCAGCTAAACCCTGAGCGAGCATGTGGGCAAGACTCACCAGCCAGACACCCAGAAAGTTTTCTATAGTAACTCCTATCATCATCACCTCCATTGACCTATTTACCACTCATATTAGGTAACAAATGTAGCCTGCTGACCGCCATGGTGTCCATGTCCTAATTCAGAGAGTTCTGGCTATGAGAAAGATGTAATTCTATGATGTAAATACAACTCCATTATCTCACAATCCAAACATGCTTCTTTGGTTCCCTCACACATAGCCAGACAGTGATTACAGTTTCAAAAGCAAGGGCTAAAGCTAACCATGTAAGTCTGGTTCTAATTCCATTTTGTTTTCATAACAGTAGGCTTATTTATTTATTTTGGTCTGCCCATTTGTTTTACATCACAGATTAAAAATTTGGCAGAGGCTTATGTAAATTATAAACCAATAATAAGAAGAGCTAAAATTATCTCTTGAAGGTAAAAATATTCTAAAGTGTCAATAGTGGCATTTCCACTGAACAGGTAATACAGATCTTTAAAAAAAAAGTTAGAGATTAAAATTTCATACCATATAGCTAACCAGTTCCATGAGCCATTTCCTAGCTTGCTTACTCTTAAAATATATTTTTAGCTTGTACTTTCAGAGTAGCATGCCACATTATATGCTAAATACTAAGAAAACATCAATGGATCTAATTATATAAAGGAAGAAAATCCAGCACAGATGTTACCAGGATCAGAGAGTGGGATTATTGGCACAGGCTGGGTCAATTCCTCTCTGCACATACAGGCAATCCCCGGGTTACATGGATCCGACTTACATCGGATCCCTACTTACAAACGGGGTGAGGCAACCCCGCACTAGCTGCTTCCCCCCAGCAGACCAGGGAGACGCGAAGCTAGCGCCCCCCCCAGCAGACCAGGGAGACGCGGAGCGGCTTTTCTCAGCAGACACCTCAGCTTGAGAATAAAGGACTGAGGGAAGTGAGGTGTGGGAGAATAAAACTGAGCTCTGGAGAAATGTTTGGCTAGAGTTTCCCCTACAATATGTACCAGTTCCGACTTACATACAAATTCAACTTAAGAACAAACCTACAGTCCCTATCTTGTACGTAACCCAGGGACTGCCTGTACT